CATTTACAATTAGGACTCAAACCTCCCGGCTTCCCCAGCTTCATGGTGCCTGGCATTCTAGTTCACCCAACATGCACAGGAGGATGCCTGGGTTCCACACTGCCTTCCCTGGACCAGAGAACATTTATCACAGCACAATTACATGTGTTCCGGTCTCTGTCTCTGGTTTCACCTCGGCTTAAAAATTCCCTGCTTTAAGAAATCTTTGGTTCAGAGAGACTTGTACCAGTGATGTGTTCATTTGTGGGAACAAACCGAATGACAACCGGAGCAGCAACTGAGTGGCCAGAAAAAACAGTAAGCAGGTTGTGGGTAAGACTTTTTACCACGGCCTAGATGGAGCTGGGGAGGGTCATATATTTAGCTGGGATGTGACTGTATATGTTCGCTAAAACATCAAGTTTCTGTGCTCTTCACTGAAATGAAATCAATTCAGTGTGGGGATAATTGGCTGTTGATGACATCATAGGAAGGGTGGCATGTATTCCTTGTATAGAGTTGGTATGTCTTTGAAAAGTAAAATAGAAATGTGGAAACGTTAATATTACCTGATAATGTAGTTTAGACTTGAAGATAATCTTGAGCAGGAATCTTTAACAGGAGGTAGGGATGGGGGGACTATTTTCCTTTCTGCCTAGGAATTTATGACAGTGTACACAGAGTTTAATGCAATAATATGGAAGTATAAGTAGAAAAACGGTACTCTGGGTTATCAACAGTAATAGAAAATACCTCAGTCTTTAGACATTTTAGTCCAATGACTAATATTTAGAAGTAGGAAAACAATCCAAATTGTTTAAAAAATCTAGCTAAAGTAACATAAAGGGTAGTACCAATCTCTTTTCAGAAACTTGGAATAGCTTTCACTGACAGTGAATTAGGACTTTTGGTTCAGAACAGCATTTGTTTTCAATCATTATGTTTGGGTTGGTATTAAACATGAATTAATTTTATCCTGTCAAGGACATTAACTGCTGTTTCCTAGGTTAAGTTTAAGGGGGGAAAAAAAAAAGAATGGAACCCAAGAGATCTGTCTTACCTAGTTTAAATAACCCATTATGCTCCCAGTGAATATAACGTACCCCTACTGAGTAACTGGGTAACAGCTATGAAGCTCCAGAAAGACTCTGAAGGCAGCTCATTCTATAGTATGAAAAACTGTCATAAGATTTTACCCATGACATTAGGTTAAACAAAAGCTACCAGGTAGAGTCATGTCAAACTGCATTATATTTCAAAGTCTGTAATGAAAATAGACCCAGTACTTCGGTGCTTTTCTGTTTCATTTTTAGAAACTATAAAATAGCGAAACACTAGTTTTTTACTCAATACAAATTATTCCACTTAAAGCAATTTTTAAAATCTTCCTAAAATATTATGTTAAAACTAATGTCCATGGGCTTCCCTGGTGGCGCAGTGGTTGAGAGTCCGCCTGCCAATGCAGGGGACACGGGTTCGTGCCCCGGTCCAGAAAGATCCCACATGCCGCTGAGCGGCTGGGCCCGTGAGCCATGGCCGCTGAGCCTGCGCGTCCGGAGCCTGTGCTCCGCAACAGGAGAGGCCACAACAGTGAGAGGCCCACATACCGCAAACAAAACAAAACAAAACAAAACAAAACTAATGTCCAACCAAAGCTTAATCTCCAACAAAATCTAAGTGAAGATCTGAATTGAGATAATTTACAACTTCGATCAAGAAAGACATAATCACTAAGACAAGGAAATGTTTGGTGCTGGTGGTAACTGTCATTATCCTCATCACAACATCTAGAGATCCGTTTCTAAGACAACACACACACACATTCACCTCCTGTTATCATAGTGGCTGGCTTTACAGAACACATTCCTTAAGTGAGTGTTCCTGGTGTTCTGGGTTAAAATAAACAATGGCTGATTGACAGACGAATGGATGAAAAAGATTTGGTACATATATACAAAGGAATATTATTCGGCCATAAAAGAGAAGGAAATAATGCCATTTGCAGCAACATGAATGGACCTAGAGATTGTCATATTGAGTGAATTCAGACAGAGAAAGACAAATATCATATGATATTGCTTTTATGCAGAATCTAAAAAAAAATACAAATGAACTTATTTACAAAACAGAAAGAGACTCACAGACATAGAAAACAAATTTATGGTTACCAAAGGGGAAGGGTTGGGGGGGGGGAGGGATAAGTTAGGAACTTGGGATTAACACATACACACTAATATATATAAAATAGATAAACAAAAAGGACCTACGTATAGTGCAGGGAACTATACTCAGTATTATGTAATAACCTATAAGGGAAAAGAATCTGAAAGAGAATATATATATATATATATGTGTGTGTATATATATATATATATATATACACACACACACACACACACACATACATATATATATATATATAAAACTGAATCACTGTACTGTACACCTGAAACAAACACAACATTGTAAATCAACTATACTTCAATTTTAAAAAATCAGAAAAACAAACAAATCAACAACAATGGCTGGTTACTCAGGCCACCCAAATCAGTCTACAGCAAAGATGATTTGAAAATTTCCCAGAGAAGTGTAAGATGTACAACGTGATGAATAAAGTTGACCAAAACACTGCATTATATCCACCAAAACATCCAGGCTCTGACACTTACTACCCATGTGACCTTGGGAAAGTCACTTCCCCTCCCTGGGTCTCTGCTTCCTTACAATACGATGGGGATAATGATAGTACCCAGTTCTCAGGACTGTCAAAAGGATTAAAGACAGTCTAGAGTCATGCTTGACACACAGTAAGCCCATAATAAATGTTAACTGTTGTAACTGTTAGTTTTTAGAACATACACTCGCAAACACACACACACAGAAAACAGAATCAGTGATTGTGTAAGCATCTTTATTTACCATAATATTCTTATTGTTTTTTACCTATGGCACTGGCATATACCAAATGCAGATGACTGCTTGGAAACTTTCATTTCAGTCACTGGGTGTCAAGACACTGAAGGTATGTCATGATATTCTTTATTACTGAATTTCATTGAAATCAGTCAACTCCTTTCAAAGTAATGAGAAAACAAATAGACACAGCACGCCAAGTGGCTTATTTTAGAAGACATGATCACTTTGTTTTTCTTCACAGTCAAATAAAGCAATCTGTGTAACCATGAACAGTAATGATGCTTATTTAGTGCTTTTCAGTTTGCAAAATAATTTCAAAGCAACGCGTGAGCGAGCCCCTCCTATCCCTTGCTTTTGCTTCCTTTCCGAAGACCTCTCCACAAGCAGAGCCATGTTTTTCACTGTCCTCATGCCTGGGGACCCATAGAGGGGGTGTGGACAAAGCAGCAGCACTGATATTATTACTTTTGCTCATTTTCCTATAAGTAGTTGAAGCAGTGAAGAGAGATAAAGGCCTGCTCTCTTTTTCTAAATGAAGTCACAGAAAACCCAAAGAAATGATAACATTTCACAAAAGCATGCTCAACTTTCATCAGTACAAAGACCACCTGATCACTGTCATGGAAGCATTCAAGCTTTGTCAGGTCCCACAGAAAATTCCAGAGACTCACTCCTAAGCACCCCCCTACCCCCTGTCTTCCAAGCAGCAACTGCCACAGAACTTTGTTTTTCTAACAGACAGTTCTCTTATATGAAATCTTTATTTTGCAAACCACAGTGTGAAAGTGTGACAGAGTAATGAAGTTAAATCAACAGTGAGGCAGCTTCCTTCTCCTTCCAGAATCAAGACCCAAATACAGAACCGCAGGTTCTTAAGCCCTGAAGAAACTGGGTTTCAAAGGCACTCTATAAACAGCAAACAACCATAATATAACAAAGAAGAAAAAGAAGCTACTTTGAAGTTACTTTTCAAAATTCAGTCACCTAAAAATAACACCACGAAAGAGAAACAAAGGAAAGACTTTGTCAAGTAAAACAGCACAGAATTCAGGAGGTCTATTTGATTTATATTCATTTCTCCTGGGAAATGATTTGTTGTTTTGCAAATTCTGTTTCTATTTGATCTTATTTGATGCTCCACGGGCTGGTGGTGGGACTCAGCATCACACCAGCCTTTACTGGAAAGTAAAACTTACCTCATGAATAGAACAGGATCCCCTGCAACCCTACAGGTTCCTGTCAGCCCTGTGCAGCAAAGTCTGGACAGCTAGGACCCTCCCTGTGCAGGTGACCCTCTCTCTGTCCCCAACGAGATGCGAGTCCTGCACTTGCTACCCTAAGCGGGTCCACATCGCTGACCCTGGACCTGGCCCACCCTCTCCTCCGACTCCATCATCAGGCATCACTGGGTGCTGCCGGGCAGTACACATTTCTCATCCCCAAGGCGCTCAGAGTCCCATCAGAAATAATTTACTCCCAATCGTCTGGGGCCAGGATTACAACAGGGAACTCTACCCTGCCTTTTTTTTTTTTTTTTTTTTTTTAATCCAGTTACATTTAACGTAGTTAACGATATGTATATTCCTATTATCATTCTCTTAATTGTTTTGTTATTGTAGGTCTTCTCCTTCTCTTGTGTTTTCTGCCTAGAGAAGTTCCTTTAGCATTTGTTGTAAAGCTGGTTTGGTTGTGGGAAAGAGCAGGAAAAGACTATAATTCACCACGAAAGAAAACGCTGGGACACAAACACGAAGAGAGCACACTTTTGATGTGATGGATGGGCCTCCATGGTTGAGTTTAAAACACGGACGTGGTCACTCCAGAGGGCAGCTGTGAGTGACATCAGAAACAGACACCAGCTTTCCAAGCACCCTTTGACCTCCTAATTCATCACAGGCCTTATCCCATGAGGGCCCAAAGCCCCAGGAAGCTTGGACTCACCCCACGTACCTGGATATCCCCTCCGCCCACGGATGCTCATTTAAGCTCCAACACTGCATGACAATCCTACTTGAAGATGCTACAAAATAGGCCATCTCCTTCTATACCTATCAGTAATGTCTTTGAATAACCAAAATGCAGAGTACAAAGGAAGCACTCCCTACCTTGAACACATCAAGCTGTTGGTTAATCAACTCTGTTTCCATGCCAACAGGGCCTTGAGACTCCTCGTGCTCTTCAGCCTTCTGGAGTAGAGTAGAAAATTCCTTGAGTTTGCTGTAGAATTCTTCAAGGCGCATGATGGTCCCTTCCACCTGCTCTTCTCTGGCTTGTGCACGGTCCCGAAGCTTGTTGCACTGTTTGCTTAAAGCCTCCAGGTCCCGTTTGATGCCGACCAGGTCAGGAGAGGCTTCCTCCGTGGCCAGCATCATCTTGCAGGTCTTATTAGCATTGGTGTTGCTTGCAATGAGCGCTTCCAGTTTCTCCAAGAAGGCTTTAATAGCCTCCCTTTGCTTCTGCAGCGTTTCCACATCTCTCCCCACTGGGGCCATGCTGTCCAACTCATCATCAAACTCCGCAAACTGAGAAAACATCTCTCGGATGGTGTTCTGGAAATGGCCGATGCCCTGAAGCTTGGTTTCTAAGAAGGAACACTTTTCATCCACCTGCTGGCTGAGGGTGCTGTGCTCCTGGGCTAAGGCTTCTGCTTGGAAGAGAACCTCGGAGGTGCCCTTGGAGTCGGAGGCCCCCGCCACAAGGTCCTGGGCGAGCCCCTGGGCCAGATCGACCTGAGGCTTCAAGGTCTGAAGGGCTTTCTGCTGAGTCTGCAACACAGTCAGGGACTTACTGCTGTGAGCCTGGGGCCCCAGAGAGTTGTGCATATCTAGCTGTTCCTTTGCACACTGAAGCTGCCTCTGTGCTTCTTTGGAAACTTCTTGAAATTCTTTAAACTTCTGGGACATGTTCTCCAGAAAGAATTTCTTCCTGTGCACTTGCTCGGTGGCCATGTCCACCTTCTGGAGCAGGGTTTCCTTCTCCTCTGCCACCGCCTCTTTGTCCACTTCACAGACACGGAGCAGGCTGCTGGCTGCACTGTTTAGCTGTTCCACCATCCCGAAGTGCTGGTCCCTCTCCTTCTGCAGAGACTTTAACTGGGCAAGAGATTTCTCTGTCTCAGCAGGATCCAAGCTACACTTTATTTCCTTGAGGCTGTTTTGACACCTGTCTATCCATGGCCGGAGCATCTCCACATGTTCTTTATACTTGAGAGCTTTTTCCAGTGAATCTTTCACCCTGTCTTCTCTTTCTTTCACCTGCTTCTGAAATCCATCCCAGTTGGTTTTAATCGTGTTCAGCTGTAACTGTAACGCTACCTTCTCAGACCCTTGTGTTTTTAGTAACAGGTTTTCACCTTCCGCCATGGTTTTCTCATAAATGTGAGACTGGGCGGTCAAAGTTTTCCTGAAGTCTTTCTGATCTTTCATTAATGACTCCAAGACCTCGACTTTGGCTGATATCGGGGGAGATTTGTTCTGTTCTTCCTTCTTGGTATCCAGCCAAGCCTGGAAATCTCTAGACATTTGCTGAAATTGATGAGAGCTGGCACAGGCTGACTGAAGATGCTGGACATGGTTCTCTAAAAAATAAAACCACAGACATGTTTATTTTACATCAAAATGTTGAATAAATCTGCAAAAAGCCAAGAGAAAAACCACCAAATAAATACACAGAATAATCTAAATGCAAGGGCTACTAGCACTGACTATGAGAAACGACAAAAGCGCTTACGTTATGGACAAAGGCGGTGGGGGAAGGGCAAGAAGTGAGGACTACGGCAAGAAAAGAGACAATAGAGGCTGGATACTAGAGCCACCTCCATCCCAGGGCGGAGAAGTGAAAACTGTTCAAAGCTCTAGGTGACGCTGATAAATAATCAATCTCTTATTAAATATGACTTTTCCACCTGTGTGATTTTTTTTCCTTTGGCCCTGCGGCATGCAGGGTCTCAGCTCCCCGACTAGGGACTGAACCCGTGCCCCCTGCAGTGCAAGCGTGGAATCTTACCCACTGGACCGCCGGGGAAGTCTCCACCTGTGTAATTTTTACCCATTACGGAGGCAATGTAAGGCAGCCCATGGGGACGACATGGGTCTGGATCCCAACTCAGCCTCTCAAGAGCTGGAGGGCCTAGGGTGAATGATTAAACCTCTGGGCCTCATTTCCCCAAGTGTGAGCTGGCAACATTGATAGAAGCTGTCGTGGGAATGAGGTAACAGTGCGTGCAAGTAAAGCTCTGAGCTGAATGCCTGTCACGGAAAAGGGTTCCTAACAATAGTCACCATCACTGTAATCATCAGAGTTAGTGTTTGCTATCCATATCACGTCAAAATCAAGGAGTAAGTCTGAAACGGTTGCTATGATCAGTAAACAAATCCAATCAATTATTAAAAAACATAAACTGAGTGCCTAGTGTTACTTGGCAAATGACAAACACAGCAACCAACGGGCTCTCCTCTGGCCTGCCCTTCTCAGGCCCAGGAACTGCTGCTGCTGCCGCCTTGGACCATCCTGGGCTCAGCGGCCACAGAGTGATGGCCACAGCAGGCAAGAGAGGAAATCGTGCATAATGCTTCTCTCTCACATGTTTCTCTGGAAAAGCTTCCATGATGGAGCCAGATGAACTAGCTGTTATCAAGAAAATGATGCCAAGCCTTTTTTAATAACTGTAGTCATCTCCTTTTCTGGTGAAACAAGACTGTTGCATAGCATAAACACTGACACCTTTAAAAACCAATCTGTTTTTTTTTACTGTTTTTTTAAATTGAAGTATAGTTGATTTACAATGTTGTGTTATTTTCTACTGTACAGGAAAGTGATTCAGTTATACATATATACACATTCTTTTTCACATTCTTTTCCATTTTGGTTTATCACAGGAGACTGAATACAGTTCCCTGTGCTATGCGGTAGGTCCCTGTTGGTTATCCATTCTATATAATATCCTACGATAAGCCATAATGGAAAAGAATATTAAAAAAGAATGTATATATATGTATAACTGAGTCACTCTGCTGTACAGAAGAAATTAACACAAGATTGTAAATCAACTCTACATCAATAAAAAAAAATTTTTTTAATAGTTTGCATCTGCTAATCCCAAACTCCCCCCTCCATCTCTCTTCTACCTCCCCTGCCCCTTGGCAACCACAAGTCTGTTCTCTATGTGTGAAAGTCTGTAAAAACCAATCTGGAGTACCTGAAGTTTCCATGGGTCTTTGCGAAGTGGACTTTGCCGGCACGGGGTCCCCCTATCATCTGTGCAGAACCCCCCGCCCCTGCAACACTGTGTGTGCATGTGAACCCAAATCTACCCTCCTTGCATGCACCTCTCACTGCGGGCAGGTTCACTTTAGGGGCCTGGTTTCCCCAACAGCTTGGAAATAGGGAGTTCACTGATCCCTATTTCCAGGAAATACATGCATTCAAAGAAGACACACAAACCTGCTTTTAGTTCAAGATCCTTAAATGATTTTAAGATGCCTTCCAGTTGCCGACTAAGTTCAGCTTTCAAGTACTCTTCTTTAACCAGGGCTGCCAGATCCTCTCCCAGAGCCTGGGCCACTTTGATCTGCTTCGTTTCCTGCTCTATTTCCTGCTTCATTTTCTGGGCTGTTTCCAGCTGCTGGTTCATCGCGTCAGGGTGTGCGCTCCCAGCCACACTGCTGCTGAGTTTATTATCCAAGTCGGCCAGCTTATCGGAAAGGCTTCTCAGCAGGCTTTGATACTGGGTGCTTTTAACAATGGCATGGTCGATCCGGTCACGTCTGTCCCTCAATTGTCCCGTGAGGCTGTCCCATTTTTGGGTCACAGCTGCTAGCTGTTCCTTCACAATCCCGTGGAAGGATGGATGCTCCCCAGGTCTGTGCAGTATGCCCTGACCAGCGACTGTTAGCTGTTCATACTGAGGTTTCCGGGTATCAAATTCTTGCAGGAGAATCTAAGGTAAAGAGGTGATGAGGGCAAGTTAACACACAAATGACTGGATAATTAATTACAGAAAACATACCTTTAAGTTTCTAAACAGACAGAAATGGTAGTTAATTATCTAGTTTTTATTTTATTTTTGTCACTGCTTTTCTAGCTTTTATTTCAAAGGCAGTGCAATTATCGTAAACTAATCCAAAGAGCAATGGCGCTTCACAGAGATTAACATTTTGTCTAAAATAATATCCCCCAAGGGAGACAAAAGAGAATAAATATTTTTGCTAGTGTGGGGAAAAGGAACAAAAGTTCATGTACAAATTTTCACACACCAAGGGAAACACTGCTTTTAGACAAGTTTACATCACACTAACACCAATTTAATTTCTTCCTATTTGCATTTTTCTTTTTACAGGATTGTTTAAATGCTCTATAGCATTTTACACCAAAGGAAATACACAGTGATAACAGTGTTAGGATATACGAACTCATGGTGTATTGATTTACAAAGGTTATTTTAAACATAAGATCGACGTTTACCGTCTTTTTTGTAAAGATTTAGCCAATAAATCATGTCACTCCGAGCGTGCGGGCTCACACTGGCTTTCATTATAAAACGAATGATCCCCAAATGTCCTTCTTTTAGTACAATATTTTACCTATCTCTGGGAGACTATGGATAATTATTTCTCCTCAAATGTTTCTTTATTATCTGTTGTTTCCATCTATTCAGATGAAGAACATACATGCCTAGGACAGCATGTGACTCAACTACCCAGACTGTTGTGTATTTTCAGAGTACGGATCAGCTTCCATGCCCCAAAACCACCACCTGCACAGAAAGAAAGCTCACCGAGACCACAGTGGAGCGCCTGCGATTACGTCTGACTTACAATTTACATATGTTTCTCCCCCTGTGGATTTATCTGCTCATAATTAGATGAGTCTAACTAACCCTGTGGGTTTCAAGGTTCCTCCTCTTCTTCCCTTCTTCTTTCTCTTCTTACTTTGTCTCCCCCACTCAGGGATGTTTTGCATGAGCTTTATAAGTTTCATTATCTACTACCACAATCAAAATGAATAAAACCTCAAAGGAGTCATTTCTAAACAATATACTAGCGTCTCATAAAAATGTTCTTACTTATGCAATCATATTAATACTTCAAAGAAAGTCCTCTTTAACAGGGTCTCTACAAACCACAATATGACTGAAACGATCAAGGGACCTGACCATACTCGTGGGCTCGGTGGACCCCTCAGGGATGCTCCAGAGCTTTGCTTCTCTGGGGGTTTCCCGCCAGCCTCACGACAGTACCTCGTGGGCATCTGACACACTACAAATACCCTCCGAGACAGGCAGAGCACATACCGTCCAAAGTAATGTATTTCTGATGAAAACATCTGTCTTGTTAACTCAGGTAGGACTCACCTGCACCTGCTGCCTTTGTGTGTTCAGCATATTTGGGTCAATCGACAAGGGCCCAAGGACACTGACCATCAGTTCTTTTTCCACAAGCCACTGTTTTAACTGAGCCTCCACAGTCTGGAATTGGGTTAGATTATTTGAGGATTCTTCCAGTTTTTGTCGTCTATCAACCGTTAACTGATTGAGCTCTTGCCACCTAGAATCTAGAAGAAAAAAAGATAAAGGATGAAACAGATGTGTTTTTTTTTTTTGCGGTACATGGACCTCTCACTGTTGTGGCCTCTCCGGTTGCGGAGCACAGGCTCCGGACGCGCAGGCTCAGCAGCCATGGCTCACGGGCCCAGCCGCTCCGCGGCATGTGGGATCTTCCCGGACCGGGGCACGAACCTGTGTCTCCTGCATCAGCAGGCGGACTCTCAACCACTGCGCCACCAGGGAAGCCCAGATGTTTGTTTTTTATACATTTAATACAACTGTATCTATGAAGATTGTAGGACAGGACTCTCCTTACATAGTCAATTAAAAACTAACCTGTGCGTTAATTGCATTTAATGATACAGATTTTATGGTCCCAATGGTTTGTGTCAACTGAAGTGTAAGAAAAATAGATTTGAATCTGATTTTGGAAGATGCTGTAGATTATGGAATATTCCTGAGAACCCTCATTCCTTCTAGAAGTCCTACAGAGTCTGTTTATTCAACTAGAACTGACCCACTAGAACAATGAACATGTATGTGTCCTTTTCTTTAACAGCAAACCTTCAACGACCAGATGGTGGTAAGCGACTCCCAAATGTGTGTATCTACACCCAACCATGCTCTCCTACGCAAATCACACATCAGCAGCCAACTGCTCAGAAGTTACAATAGGAAATCTCACCAACCCCTTAAATTCAATGTTGGAGGAAAAAACTCACGATATTCCTAGCAAAATGGGTAGGTTTTTCCGACTTTTAGACTTCTTTTGAAGGTTATTCTCATGCATGTCATGAAATGCCATAATTCAGGACGTTCTTTCATGACTCTCCTATATCCTCAATCACAAACCCTTAAACCCAGTCCTTCCATTCCCAATACCCAATTCCACATTGGTCCTCACCATGTTTTGCCAAGACCAGTACTTCTCAAGCTGGAGCTGCATCAGAGACCCCTAGAGGGTCTGGTCACACAAGGTGCTGGGCCCACCCCCGGAGGGACTGATCAGCAGGTCTGAAGTGATGTCTGAATGTGCATTTCTAACACGTCCCCAGGGGATGCTCTGCTCTTGCTGCCAGGAGCACCCTTTCCAGAACTGCACACCTAGACCAAGAGCCTTCTAACCAGCTTACCTGCGATTCGTGATCCTCAGCTGCAATGAATTTGGTTCTAAAATAATTTCCCTTAAACGTCACTGAATATGTCACTTCTGGGCTCAAACCCCTCAAAAATTTACTCGTCACCAACTAGATGGCAAAATCTGATGACCTCTGCTTGACCTCCAGGGTCTCCCACAAAAGGGCCCTTGTGTGCTCATCTGAGAAGGTCTGTCCTCCGAGAGGAAGGCCTCATCTGCCCGCTGATCACACGTCCTCATCGCAACAGGCTGGGCGCACAAGGGCCTCACAGCTCACGTGCTCCATCCCTCCCCCTCTGTCCCTGCCCCATCCCGCTTTCACGATCCCACTGGGTCTCACCCTCCGCTAGGATGCCCTGCCTGCTCCCTCAGCCCTGAGAATGGCATGCTCCTTGAAGCCCAGAATTACAGACCATCTCTCAACACATGAGTCACTCAGCACTGATGGTGTGAAGAGCTGATCTGACAGATTTTTTTCACCTAGTGTAATGCACTGAAGAGCTGCTTTTCATAGAGCCCAGCCCCTGAAACATTTACCTAAACAATGTCACACTATACGGCGTGTTCTAGTCAATCACAATCTGCTAATGAGATAATGCAACTCAAACCATAAATGGAGAAGGAGAAATATCAAAATCTTATCAGGAAGCTTTTCTGAAATGTGCATTCCTCGCTCCCTCCGCTATTCTAAGAAGTCTTGAAAATATTCCTTTGAGTAATTCTGATATTCTAGGTGAGAGCCACTGAATTAGGGCCCAATTAATTATAATGCAACAGGAGTCTCTATTGTTGGATTAAATACACCTTTCACCATTAAGATCTCTTAGGATGACTCTTTCTCTTTTACTGGAGTATAGTTGATTTACAATGTTGTGTCAGTTTCAGGTGTACAGCAAAATGAAGCAGTTATATGTATAAGGATGACTCTTATTAAACTAAAATGTACTTAGAAACTTCTAAATTTATCACTGCATATCTGACTCTAAAGGAAGGACAAGATTTAGCTAAATATAATGGAACAATTCAAAGTAAAATGATTCTTGTGATAGTCATAGTTAAACATACTTAGTATGTGCCCGATACTGTTTGTCTGAGCTGCACACACATCAACTCACTGAATTCTCCAAATACTATGAAGTAGGGAAAATGAGTATCACTGTCTTACACTCACTCCCATATCATTACAATAATGAAAAGGGGAGATAAGATAACAGGGCTTGTGAAGGCAATTCTGCATCTCTGAGGAACAGTTTATATAGGGACAGGATGGAGATGGGAGGAGGACTCTGGGTAAAGAGCAAACCCCCAGACTCCTGTGGGGAGCAGCCTTCTCAGGCTGGCTGGGAAAGGGACCAGCAGCATGAAACAGGGGCTGGTGGGGTCCCATCAGGAACTCCATGGTGGAGAAAGGCACCCAGCTTTTCCAGACAAACAAACAAAAAGGACTCTCCACACTAAAATATAACAAAGCATAAAAAATTAGAAGCACCCAAAACCTAGTAAAAAATAAACCACAATGAAAACATGTGACTCAATACACAGCATTCTACTAACTGGTATCTACCTTCTTCATAAACATAAATGTCGTTACTGTGTTCAGTGAGAAAAACACAAGATATGCCAAGGCCTAGCACCATGTAACATGAAATGACACTTTAGAATATGCAAAGATCGATTCTGAAACATGAAAGCAAATCCCAAAGTCAGTGAGATTGCTGGATAGATGTTTTCTGATAGTGATTATGATTTTTTAAAAAATGACTGTGCTTCTGTTCACGGCCTCTGGTGTAAGTGGTAACATACCTATTTCTGTCAACATCTGCTTCCACTTGGGGGCCTCCGGAGTGTCTGGGTTCTCCTCCAGCAGCTCCGTCAGCTTGTCTTTCAACTCCTGCACTTTGTTTACATTTTGCTTCAGTTCTGCCTCAAATGACTAACAAGGAAATAAAAAAAGTAACTTCATTAAAGTATGTCAACATCAAAAGACAAAAACACAATTTCAATAGAGCACTTTTTTCTCCAACATGACCAAAAGAGGGGAAAAAATCCACTGTTAAAGGCTGACGTGAGTGAGGACTGGATTCAGCAGTGAATTATATTTTCTTTTCCTCTTCATAGCTATTCTTCGACTAGCTGATAACAGAATCCCAAGGAGGAATGCTAGAGCTACAGAGATAATGACCCTCATCCCATCACCTAGAAAGAATTTCAAGGTATTCTCAAATCCCTTTGGAAAAAAAGGAAAATGATGTCAGTATGATTGTAATTAATCAGAAAATCAGTCTTGATAAAGGCTGCAAGATTCGAGACTACTAGCAAATAAGCACTTTTCTGGACAACACATTACAGAGTTCAAAGATAAGTTAGTCATCTGGAGACATTTTTGCCAGCATTGCCAGAGTGCAAAACCGTTTTCCCAACCCTGACAGTTGTAGAAAGAAATACCGTGTATTAAACAAAGGGAAAACATGAGCTCCCCTATTTTATACTGGACAGAACAGATTCCTAATACACTTAGCCCTTAAATACATCTTTTCCAATAAGTACTGGTTCAAATCCAAGACTTAAACTAATTTGAAGGTGGCAAAGTTGCTTGCACCCAACAGCTCACTCATCTTTATAACATCTGCGTGTAAAAATAAGTGACTATTAGCATCAATCTCTACAAAAAGTCTGGTTCAACAAAGCTGGCGAACTATGTGTTGAAGGTTATAGAGCCAGAAACCAGACGGGGCTCCTGACCCCCAGGGCTCAGTTCTGAGCGCTAATCTGTTCTCCCACATCTTCGGTAAATGGACCCACAAAAGATACCTTGTTCTGTTCAACTTGACTCTTCACAGCCTCAGTGTCCGTAGGTGTAGGTGCCTGATGCCATTTTGTGGCAGTTTTGTTCATTGTCTGTAACCACTGCATCATGGCACTTGATTCTTCCTGAGCCTTTTGCAATCTGGAGAGTTTGGTACTCAGTTCGGCTATTTTGTCTTTAAGTAAGAGGCCAAGATCTTCATAGCCATGGCTTATGTCAGTCATATCCTTTTTAATGGACGTTAATCCTAAACGTAAGAAGAAAAATTATATTGACACATTTTCAGGGTGTTTAGAGCTCCAGAAATAAAAATTTGTTTCACGTGCTATTTCCTTCTATTTTGTCAATATTAAGTCTACTATGATAAAGTCATAGAGTTTTTAGAACTAAAATGTTACATCATCTTACAATGCTACTTAGTGACAAATACTTTAGGTACACTGCATAATACAAGTGAAATGAGATAGATATTTTAAATGGAATAAAAACCCCAAATCATGAAATGATGCTTATTAATTCCTCAGGCATCAAATTAAAAAAAAATAGCTCAAATAATGTTAGCCCAAGTGAGAAAGTATCTGAAATTAACCCGAAAGAAGGAAACATAAACCGAATGCCAAGCTGAATTACTGGATTTCATTAAGTTCAGATGAACAAAATTGCATGGAATGTTATATAAACATGTTATTTATGGAGAACATGACTATACTCATACCATTTTAATTCAAGTTTGAAATTTCGATATAACTACTTTTCATCCCTAAAAAGATTTTCTCTCTCTCGCAAAAAAAAACACCATACCAAGTAATTTAATCAATAAGCACTTAAAGTTACCATTTACCTTTATTTGACAAAATATCCTGAGTATCTATGGCTGCTCCGTCACCATTTAATATTACTCCACCTGCAAAAATATTAAAACTGAAGTCATCATAGATTTCTATTGTATTTTATATATATTAATAGTAGGTGGCATTAAAGCAAACGCCATAAACAGTAATTCTTTTAAAATGTTATTACTATTTGAAAATGTAAAATAATGATTCAATTTCAAAATCAAATGAAGGTCTGAAAGATCAAGCTATATCCTCTCTTTTGCATAAAATTTATTCTTAAAGTCATAACATGATCAACTTAAATGTAGAGTTTCAGTAACTTTATATTATATACATTAATCATTAACTATTAATTTATAAGAAAATTTGGGGATAAGGTTGCTTTAAAGCTGAAGTTATTTTAGTGATACAGTCCCTGAAGCACAGAAGCTGGTCACTATGTGTGTTGCTTGAAGCATAAGTGCCTGACGGACAAAAGAATGTCTGTCTCAAGTTAAGAAACAGAATTGTCTGCTGTAGTTACAGTGTTTTCATGGGTTTAATGGAGGCGGAATGAAAGAAAAGTTAAAAGTAAAAGAAACCATTACTGTATCAATATAGAGGAAGGAGGTACAGTGGCTGGGGCACCTGGGCTCTGGCATATGTCTCACCTGAACTTAAACCCCAGCCCCACTAATGACTCCCTGTGAGGCTGCACAGGTGAATCCATCCCACCAAACTGCTGGGGAGAATAACACGTATCTCGCGAGACCACTGTGGGCATTAAAGACAGTTACCCTACTGCCTAGCAAATAGGAACTACTCGGTGAGCCGTAGTAATTATTTCTCTTTAATTCCATAAATACCCAGCACTGGTTTCTTTTTCATAACCAGAATATTAAAAAATCAATTAGACCTTCTCATGTTAGTATGCCTTGGCTCTCTATCCAAAACACAAAAACATTTCCCCAAACTAACCACACACGAACAAGCCTAAACAAAAACATTTAAATATCTGAATCTTAATCTAAAGTTTTGTCCCTTAAAAAAAAAAATCACACACACCGTGGCATTTCAGATGGAAGTGAAAATACCCTTTAGATACTCGAGATTAATTCCTACCATGCTTGCGAGGTGTCAAGAGTAGGAAAAAAATACTTTTTACTTATTACTAATATAGAATGGGCATGAAGAACTAATGTAAAACACCACAGAATTCCCTTCCTTTAAAAACAAAAACAAAAATCCTTGACATTTCAGGAAATCTGATTAGGAGAGAAAGGAGAGATCATCACACACTATACTATGAGGATTGCCTGAAATGGGATTAATAGAGCAGAATAAACGGTGGGTGGAGACGGGCCCAGCTCAACATCAGCCTCACAATGGGAACAGCTGGGGGCTGAGCAGGGCAGATAAACCACAGAGGATCCTCAGAAACCCTCAGAATAAAGATATGAGATCTGCCTTTGGTCTACTCTTGGATTATTTTAAACCTGATAGTGACAACAATATAAATATGTTTTAAACTTAAAACTCTATCCACAACTTAATTTTAGAACCATTATTTATACATGACTCTCCCCTTTTGTTGAGAAGCCTGGTAAGATTGTGATTCAGACATGCTGGCTAACACAGTATAGAACTGTTTTCTTTGGGAATAGTGTAAGGAATAAAGCAGATGGGAAGAAATTAAGAGAGGTCCACTCAACAGAAAAGAACCTGTTTTCTTTCCTTCCGTCTTTCCCAGGAGACCAGACTCATTTCTTTATCAAAGATTTCAGGGGCTTCCCTGGTGGCACAGTGGTTGAGAATCTGCCTGCTAATGCAGGGGACACGGGTTCGAGCCCTGGTCTGGGAGGATCCCACATGCCGCAGAGCAACTAGGCCCGTGAGCCACAACTACTGAGCCTGCACGTCTGGAGCCTGTGCTCCGCAAAAAGAGAGGCCGCGATAGTGAGAGGCCCGCGCACCGGGATGAAGAGTGGCTCCCGCTTGCCACAACTAGAGAAAGCCCTCGCACAGAAACGAATACCCAACACAACAAAAGTAAATAAATTAATTAATAAACTCCTACCCCTAACATCTTCTTTAAAAAAAAAAAAAAAAAAAGAGTTGAAGGGCTTAGCCATGGGAGCTATTGTACTTTGCTGTTGATCATTTGACTTGAACAAGTTGAAAAAAAAAAAAAAAGATTTCAAATAGAATTTCTACATCCCCATCAATTAGGTAAAAACAAACTGGAATCTGATCTTTCCCCTTCCCCAATATAATGTTCCTTATTCTTACAGATGAATTTGGTTACATTTTAAATTGTAGTAATAAGATGAAACCTAAGAGATCTGAAATTTGACCAGAACAGACACTTTTCCGTGGCAGCGTTTAGGTTGTTTAGAGATGCCACTTTTCTTGTCACTTTCCCTTCGTGTTTCTGAGGTTATTTTATGCATTAATTTTTAAAAATAACATACACAAATAAAATCAACATGGGTGGACCCAATTCATCGGTAAAACCCAATGGGTTTTACCACAAATGTAAATAAAGCACTTACCTGACTTAACTGCTGCTATGGCCTTTGCAGGGGTCATCACAGCGCTTATTAGGTTACATAGTGAGATCCCACTGTTGTTGACTTTCTGAATCTCTGGTGTTTTTAAGCTCCACTTCTCTTGTAATTTCTGGAGATATAAAAACATATTATTTTTCAGTCTTTGTAATCTTTTCCAAGTTATACATTATAATTCAATGTCTTAAACATATCTTAAAACAGTGACGATTGTGGGTTCTGACTTATGGGATGGAAGAAAAGGACAGCATCTCTATTTGTTCCAATGGTCCAAGTGACTGTTAACACTGTTATTAGTGAGGAGTGGGGAGGGGTCCATCCTGAATTCTGCTCCCAGCCACAGTGGAAGCCAGGCTAGTCCCAGCTGCCACAGGTTCCAAAGTAACTGTCAACTGTAAGTCTGCAAAACTGTACTAGGTAACAGCCAAGTTACAAAAAAAAAAAGGTAGTAGAAACAATTTTAAAAAATGGAAATTCATAATTCCATTTAATAGTGAATTTTAATCATCAAAACTTCAATGAATTTTAAAGGACACACCACTCCACAAATTTGGAGTGGAAAACTTGCCATAACTGGTCATAAGTTTTATGACTGAGTCAGATGACAAGACTCACACACTAGAGATTCAAATAACTTCCATCTTCAAATACTGGTTAGAGTGATATATCCAAACTAGAGCAAAATGCTGAGTTGAAGAGAAGGATCTTTTACCAACATTATGAAAAATGGTATAAAAAATAAACTAAGTAGAGATGTGGTGGGGAAAGAAACTCGGACCAGTCAGCAACTCACAAATACATCTCTTTAAAAAAGCAAATTAACTGAAAGTCTGTGTCCTTCTTCGAAAGGATCAGTTAAACCCGTCATGATTTCCAAATATCACCAAAATGCACTGTACATACGTGAGGCTCTAACTTATGTGCTATTAGATAAAAGGAAACCTCTCATTCCTAACACAGGCAAATGAGAAATTCTTATCAGACATGGACAGTGATTCACCTTAGTTTCTTCCAAAGATTTCCCTAAATCCTCTGCACCAGAAGAAGGCTGCACAATGGGAACTCTTTCTGTGGTTTCTTTTATCCACGACTTTAATGATTTAACCAGAACTTGAAAGGCATCCATCTGTTCTTGACAAGAAGATACAGCTTCTTTTCTAGATCACAAACATCATTGACAAATTTAAGCCACAAAGGGAGATACTCCAAAGGACTAATTACTAAAAAGTAAATTATTATGCCCCTTTCAAGCTTAACATTAAGAAAAAATCTTCCCCCAGGCACACTCCAATCCTCAGATACAGGAGGAGAAGTTTCATAGGTGGCAAGTGAAATCAGCTAAATTACTCCTTGTCTATTTCCTCAGTAAAGACTGTAGATCAAGATAGGAACAGTTAAGATATTTGTAACCCATGTGTAACGGCACTCTATAATGCTACGTACACTCTGAAGCCATATAAACAGCTTTAACATGATTTAGAGCCAGTGAGCTTTTATCTGTCCACTTTATATGGTGCTAAACACCAGCAGGCTGAGAACCAGAGGGGAAACACAAGTCACTAACATGAGGGAAACACAGCGCCACCTAGTGTCACTACAGTCACTTTAGTGGATGGGTAAACTGGGTCTTTACAGAGAGAGAGGACAGGTTTGAGTTTCCAAAAACGAGGTGAGACCTAGTGATGCAGAACCTAATGTGCACCTCCCCCATGGATACTCAGAAAGCTCCACAGTGAACTATACGGATCTCTCTGTACAGTCTCTGTACACTACACAGAGGGAGGGCACACGCCTGGCACAGGTACAGCTATGAGGACAGTTAGATTTGGTAACTGGATACCATGTAGATGGCATGTGCACGTGTGCAGGTGTGTGGATTATTAGCAGAGAGTACATGGTTGGTAAACTAATCACCGATGACCACATGGTTTTATAATTGGACCCATCTAACAGAAGAAACAACCTAGAGTTTACCCAAAGAAACCAAGAATATTTCTTCTGCGCCATGTGAATTAAACAGGATGGAAATGATAGCTCTGTGAGTAGTCCAGACAGCACTCAAAAGTTTTAGGTAGACAATTCCAAAGAAATGATGAAGAATAGCTGAAAGAGAAATGATTACTTTCTATCTTTTGGGTGGCTTCTGTATGAACTTAGGCAAAACCAGATGTATATTCTCAACTAGCACGAGATCAGAAATATAAAACTCAATCACAAGGCTCACACCCCTGTACAGCTTTTTACCTTAATTTAGGTTCATTCTCTTGTTTCTTACCTTGTTTGTTCGTGGAATCATGTCTGATCTACAACTCTTCAAAAAGGAAACTATTTTAAAAAAAAAAAAAAAAAAGCCATCCAGAACTATCCAGAACTATGCTGGAATGACGCATCATTTCTGAATTGAGCCCAGTAAGCAATGAACCATGGGCTATCTTTCAAGGTTATTTCTGCCTTTGCAAATAAAAATGTGATAGCCAAAGCCTTCAGACTACAGTGAGTTTAGACTACTTTCAGTAAAACACTACCACCACCATTTTCCTTACACAGTGCTTTCTATAAACACTTTCATGTAAGAAGTAGTGAATTTCCCTCCTAAATACTTTAACAGAAACTATACTTAGTTTTAACAGCAAAAAATTTATCAATATTAAAGTACTTATAAAGTAGCCCTAAGTTTATTCTCAGGTTTCCCAAAACTGTTCCAGGTAGCTACATAACTAAATAAAAATCATGCATTCCAATTAGTATCAAGTAGAATAAAATCCAATTTCTTAAGTGGTGCTTACTTTTCTTTGACAGTATCCTCCATTTCCTTGAATTTCTTTGACAAATTATTTGTTTTTTCAAAAACCAGAGCTTTATCCCCTGGCAAGCCATGGCTGGAGATCTCCTTCAAGAGATTCTGCAAAACTTCGAGATCTTTCCTGTGTTCTAGCAGTTCAGAAGTTGATTCCTACAAAGGATTTAGATATTTCATCAATATAAGATGTTGCTACGAACATAAAGAACAGACTGGTGGTTGCCAAGGGGGAGGGGCTTGGGGGAGGGATGGAGTGGGAGACTGGGGTTAGCAGATGTAAGCTTTTTATATATGGAATGGATACAGAACAAGGTCCTACTGTATAGCACAGAGAAATATATTCAATAGCCTATGAAAAACCATAATGGAAAAGAATATTTAAAAAAGAATGTATATATATATATATATATGTGTGTGTGTGTGTGTGTGTGTAACTGAGTCACTTTGCTGGACAGCAGTAATTAACACAACATTGTAAATCAACTATACTTCAATATAAAAATTTAAAAAAATATATAAGGTGTTGCTAGATCTTCAAAGGGCATCCCATCAAGATGTAGGTATGGGACCAAGAATGGCTCCACTCAGAATTTCACAGAATGATCCTGCCTATGGTCTAAGCATAAACAAACATGCAGGCAGGCTGTTTGAAAGAGAACAGTTTAATTTAATTTAAATATGCACTCTTTACATTCTGCCTGTGTGGGCTCTGAAATAAGATATGTATATCACCTATGATATACAGAAAATGAGAGATGGTGTTCACTTCTGATTAATGACCAAAGGCTTCAAGGAGAAGATGAGCTTTGAAGTTTTTAAAGGAGGAAAGCATAGATCTAACCAATCCATCAGCAATTAAAATGATGCTTGTTAATCATAACTCTGCCAATAAATGTATGTGCTTGTCTTAGCTGTTGATATATTTGATCAGCCTTGTGAATTCCATGGGAAACATACCTGCATAAACTGAGACAACTCAGTAACATCCTTCTCAGGCACGTCTGCCTCAGTAAGAGCCTGGGTTTTGGTTTCTAAGAATGTCTGAAGCTTTTCTGAGAGGTTCTCAAACAGCTCCACTTTGGTCTTGAGTTCCTCCATTTGGGCAAGTTTTTCTTTGTGTTTGCGACTTGCTTCTGAAAAGCGAAGGGCTAAGTCCTTCATCCTGGCCTGCAGCGAGGATGCGGTGGACGGGTCCGTGGTCTCTGTGAACCTCTTCACTTTCTCATTCATGGCATTTATGCTGCTCTGCCGCCCCGCAATGTCCTGGTCCAGCAACTGAAATGAACCAAATACCACACAGGTAACATAATGATATTTACAAATAACGTGAGACTTGTAAAAATTACTATTCAGAACAACAGAAGTTTGAGCCACCTGTGACTAAGGAAGCTAATGGGAGTGACAGACAAGCTGATTGGTCCCTGGAGGAATCCCATCCCCAGTCCCCGCAAGGAGACTGGAGAACAGCTGGCTGGCTGCCCTGGCGAGGCAGGAGACAGCCGCCACTCAGCAACCCTGGGATCTCCTGCAGCCCAGGGATTATCCACGGTCCTGATTTTTCAAAGGCCAGACAACAACAAGACTGATCTGATTAACCTCCTGGGCAGCTGGCTGAAGCCGTGAGGAACAAACAGGACCCGGTGTGTGGGGATGCCCTCTGTACCATGAGTGATGTTCATGAAAAGTACACAGAGGGAAGTCCCTCTGTGCTCCTTCACAGAAAATCGCTTCGCACACTTGTCTCTATGCAAGCGCTACTTTCCACGTTTTTATATTCAGGAGACATCTCTTTACGCCTTAAATTTCTCTTAAATCTACCCATCCTTGGAGCTTACTATATGTTTTTCAATATATTACGATTTTTTAATTGAGATATAATTGACATATGTATAACTATCTGTTATAATAATGTTATAACAGTATATTAGTTTCAGGTGTACAACACAATGATTCGATAATTGTAAATATTGCCAAATGATCCCCACAGTAAGTCTAGGTAACCTCCATCACCACACACAGTTACAATTTTTTTTCTTGTGATGAAAACTTTTAAGCTCTACTCTCTTAGTAACTTTCATACAATTATTTTTAATTTATCCAATTTCCAGTGCTGTTTTAGCAAGAGAACCCAATAGTATATACAGTTCAAGTTCCTGGGAAGAATAAGTCTGTGTTTTTTCTTAAAGAGAATTATAAGGTTCTGGTCCCTGCCATCTAGAATGATCTTTATAACCCACGATTCATATGCTGAGGAAGATACACAGATAAAAGAGCAAATAATGTTACACTAACAAGAACATTCAAGTTCTTCATATATAGGTTTATGTCTGCACATGGAAAAACCCAGGATATATGAATTTTAGGGATGAAAATGTGTAGTGAAAATCAGTGAAAGGCTTTGATATGGGCAGAGCATGAAAACATCCACACTTTTTGAATAACCTGAGATGCTGGGTTTATTTTCATCTAAAAGTGGTTTGTTGGAAGTCACTTACGATGTTTTTACTGATGACGTCCTGCAGAGCGGCGGAGTTCAAGGGCACGGGGCGCTGCTCTTCCAGTGAGCGCTCCACACCCGCCATCCAGTCCAGCATCTCATCCAGGCCATCCTGCACACTCAGAGAGCGGGTCAGGGTTATCTGCAGCTTCTCGTTTCGTTCACTGACAGACCTAGAAAGGTCATCATATCTCCCGACAATGTCACCTAGTCCAAAAGGATCGGGAAACTTTAACTACTAAGTTCTCTTTGCACCATTCCTTTGCAAAACACACTAAGGAGAGTCACAAAAATTACTACACTAGAATTGGAAGAGGAAAAAAGGTTGAAATGATAAATTCATAATGCATCATCAGAGCACCACCAAAACCTGAAAAAAGAAAGAAAAGATCCTAGTGGAAAATAAAAAGCTAAAAATTTTAAAATAGTATATATGTGTAAATATAATTGTGTGTGTGTGTGTGTGTGTGTGTGTGTGTGTTTATAATCTTCATTTGAAAAAAAGATTTTTGGATGCATAAACATTTGAATTGTCCAGAGAAATGAATGTGATCCAAACAGCCAATCTTTGGAATAAATATTGGTTCTCAACCTGACTTTTCAAATTAGCCACACTTGATAACTACCTGGAAAAAAAAAAAAAAGGTGACAGTCTTACAGAGCTAATCTCAAGAAACAATATACTCTTATAAAGATTTATTAAGAATTAACCTTTACACATAAAAATTATTTCAATCTTTCTTGCTCACGCATGCTCTCTCTCTCATGTACACACACACACACACACACACACACACACACACACAAAGATTTAAGTTTTTCTCATCCTTCACATCCTAAGCAAAGTACTCAAATGCACAGAAGTTAGCAGATGCAAATGTACTGAGAAAATAGACAACACACAATGAAAATTCACATAAAATACAGAAGGTTGAGATGATGCTTCTAAGATAACACAGATAGAATGTATTTGACAAGTTTAATAGCAGACAAAGGGAAAAATAAACAGTGTTAGGAGGCTGACCTGTCTCAGATAAGATTAACTTTACTTTCAATTCTAAAGACTTAAGATGCTTAAAAAAAAAAACCTTTCTGGCTAGTTTTCATTCATATATAAAGCTCTATATTTTAACAACCTACATTCTATGCTGCAAGACCAATGAGAAGTTCAAAGAACAGTAGTTTCTAATGTATTCACCTCTCCCTCCCCCGACTCCACCTCTCTGGAAAACAATGTTTTTAATCATCAATTTATCACTTACTGTCCAAGAATCTGAAAAGAATTTTAATTATTTCTGATACACTGTAAAATGTTTCAATGGAAGAAAATATTGACATCTCTATAAAAATGAAATCTCTTACATGCTCACATCTGGCTCATGGTACATAATCCATATAAACAAACAATATTTCTTTTTGCTTGTTCTAATATTATATCATGAGAAAACAGTTTGACAAATTTTCACTGAATTGAGAGGTTAAGCTTGGATGATTAAAAGAGACAGTCATGCTCCTTTCACGAAAACACAATGAAGCCCGTGAGAAGGGTAACAGGGAGGGGACAGAATTTAATATGCACCAAGATGCTGAGGGCAGACAAGCAGCGGGTTCAAGTACAGCCCTGATTTGCAAGTCACAGAGCAGATCATCTGAACTGCAGGCTGTGATTGGCAGGTGAGCTGTTTCTCAAATGGGCGGCTCTGTGCTTCAACAGGGCACCATCATATCTGTTTAGCTATGGTAAGTGATTTCCCAAGCAAAGTCAGCTATTTTAATAAAATTAACACACACAACATTGTAAATCAACTGTACTTCAATAAAAAATTTTTTTTTAATTAACACATTGTATTAGTTTATTTTTGGACTCCTTAGTAATAAAATATTGCCACTGAAGTAAATTCTTGATTTTAGTAATTAAAAAATATTTTAGAAAAAGGTACAAACAAAATTTACTTTAAGAATGTTACTGTTGTTGTTGTTGTTGTTGTTGTTGTTTTTTGCGGTACGCGGGCCCCTCACTGTTGTGGCCTCTCCCGTTGCGGAGCACAGGCTCCGGACGCGCAGGGCCAGCGGCCATGGCTCACGGGCCCAGCCGCTCCGCGGCATGTGGGATCTTCCCAGACCGGGGCACGAACCCATGTCCCCTGCATGGGCAGGCGGACTCTCAACCACTGCGCCACCAGGGAAGCCCAAGAATGTTACTTTTTTAAGTGGTTGGTTTTCTTAGAAGTCAAATAGATCTTAGAGAAACTCCTCTATATCTTAAATATACTTTCACATATTCCTAAAAAACTATGCCAGAGAGAAGCTTTAGTCTTAAAATAATGTAACATGGATTTTAAACAAATGAAAGTGAAATTGTGTACAGTTAACAATGGGAAGGTGTCAAAATGCCTCTTCAAATACCAGAATTACATATAAAATCGTCTTTTCTCCCCCAAGCCCCTGTCCCAAGAGCAGTGGTTGCCAAGGTGGGAGGTGAAGACAGTGCTCTGGGACACAGGATCATTCGCAGTTTTATCTTCTACTTTAACATTTTATATTTTGGGGTCTTATAATGTACATAATATGCTAAGATAGCAATAGGTGTATGTAATTAATAAATACATGTGCATCTCTGAACATCTATATACACATGCTGAAAATTACGTGACAAGGTGCATGATCAAAAGATTCTGAATGTCTCTAGAGAACAGACTGGAGATTACCAAGGCGGAGGGGGCTGGGGGAGGGATGCAGTGGGAGGCTGGGGTTAGCAGATGTAAACTCTTAAATACAGAATGGATAAACAACAAGGTCCTACTGTATAGCACAGGGAGCTATATTCAATAACCTGTGATAAACCATAATGGAAAAGAATATTTAAAAAAGAATGTATATATATGTACAACTGAATCACTTTGCTGTACAGCAGTAATTAACACAACACTGTAAATCAACTATACTTCAATTAAAAAATATTGATATGGACTTCCCTGGTGGCTCAGGGGTTAAGAATCCGCCTGCCAATGCAAGGGACATGGGTTCAAGCCCTGGTCCGGGAAGATCCCACATGCCGCGGAGCAACTAAGCCCATGCGCCACAACCACTGAGCCTGTGCTCCAGAGCCCGCAAGACACAACTACTGAAGCCCATTGCCACAACTTCTGAAGCCCACGTGCCTAGAGCCAGTGCTCCGCAACAAGAGAAGCCACTGCAATAAGTCTGCGCACCGCAACGAAGAGTAGCCCCTGCTCGCCACAACTAGAGAAAGCCCATAAGCAGCAACAAAGACACAACGCAGTCAAAAGTAAATAAAAACAAAATAAATAAATTTATTTTTTAAAATATTGATAAAAAATTGCACTATATCAGTGTTTAAATCCATGATGAAATATTGTAACAGAAAATGTATAAATTTTTTTTTTGTTTTTTACATTTTCTTGAAACAGTGCAGGACTTTATGTCATATTACTGATAGTTTCGCCTCGAGGGTTTTTGCCTCTTTGAATACAAAATCCCGTTGGGCAAAATAAGATGAAATATTTTTCCTGTAGGTTAGAAGGAGCATATCATACACTGCTGGAAACAAATCATCTGAAAATAAATTAAAAAAAAAGATTCTGAATGTAAGAAAGAAAAAGGTTTGACTTCTACAGAGTGGTTTTGGAAGAGCAAAGCTTCATCCTTCTCTTTACCTACAATTTCAACTCAGATTTTAATGCCAGCTCTCTTGGGGTGACAGGTATGTTAATCATTTGCTATGTTAAAGTTTTTATTTCACACTGAGAAATATTTAATAACCTGAAACCACACATTAAATATAGGAAAAGTAGCAAAGTCAAAAAAAATATAATGACAATAAACAATGTTAATTGATAATCCACTGTGCATTTAGTTTAAACTAAATACTGTGAGTCGATACAAAGGTAATATACAATAGCTCTTTCCTCAAGAAAGTCAACACCTAACATGAGAGGATGCAAAAGCATCGCTGTAACTCGACAGGGTTTCTAGGATCATGGAAGAACCCTGTGAGGCCACTCAAAGACCCCACGAAAAGGAGAAGCAGGAACATCTCAACCTCCTAACCCCTTGCTCCTGCTTTTGACAAGAAGATCCCTCCAAGAGTCTGTTGAGTCTGTTCTGGCCTTAGGTTGAGAGTTTAGCTCGGCCGAATCCCATCAACCAACAGAATCTTGTTAGGTTCTACTTTCTGTGACTGCTGCATACATAAAGAGTTTTTTGTAAGTCAACTATACTCTAATATAAAATAAAAAATAAAAAAAAACCCTAAATGTAAGGCTGGGTATTATAAAACACTTAGAAGAAAACATAGTCTTCTGAATGTCTGCAAGAACGAACGAGTTATGTCTTTGACATAAATCGCAGCAATATCTTTTTGGATCCATCTCCTAGAGTAATAAAAATAAAAACAAAAATAAATAAATGGGACCTAACTAAACTTAAAAGGTTTTTCACAGCAAAGGAAACCATAAACAAAATGAAAAGACAACTCACAGAATGGGAGAAAATATTTGCAAATGAAGCAACCAACAAGGGATTAATCTCCAAAATATACAAACAGCACATGCAGCTCAGTATCAAAAAAACAAACAACCCAATCAAAAATTGGGCAGAAGATCTAAATAGACATTTCTCCAAAGAAGACATTAACCAAAAGCACATGGAAACATGCTCAACATCACTAATTGTTAGAGAAATGGACATCAAAACTACAATGAAGTATTCACCACACACCGGTCAGAGTGGCCATCATCAAAAAGTCCACAAACAATAAATGCTGGAGAACAGGGAACCCTTCTACACTGTTGGTGGGAATGTAAATCGGTACAACCACTATGGAAAACAGTCTGGAGATTCCTCAAAAAACTAAAAATTGAACTATCATATGATCCAGCAATCCCACCCCTGGGCATATATCCAGAGAAAACCATAATTCGAAAAGATACATGCAGCACTGTTTACAATAGCCAAGACATGGAAGCAACCTAAATGTCCATGAATGGATAGAGAAGATATGGTACATATATATATACAATGCAATAATACTCGGCCATAAAAAAGAACGAACTAATGCCATCTGCAGCAACATGGATGGCCTAGAGATTATCATACTGAATTTAGTAAGTCAGGGAGAGAAAGACAAATATCATGTGATATCACTTATATGTAGAATCTAAAAGAAAAATGATACAAATGAACTTATTTACAAAATAGAAACAGACTCACAGACTTAGAAAACAAACTTATGGTTACCAAAGGAGAAACGTAGCAGGGAGGGATAAGTTAGGAGTTTGGGCTTAACAAATACACGCTACTATATATAAAACAGATAAAATCAACAAGAACCTGCTGTACAGCACAGGGAGCTCTACTCAATATTCTGTAATAATCTATATAGGAAAAGAATCTGAAAAAGAATGGATATATGTATATGTGTAACTGTATCACTTTGCTGTACACGTGAAACCAAACACAACACTGTAAATCAGCTATACTCTAATATTAAATTTAAAATTTTTAAAAAGAGTTTTTGCTACATTTTCTAAATAAAAAATTAAAATTTAGGTATGCAAACCACGCAGCCCAGTCCCCACTCCCAAGATCCTAATACACCTGCCAAGGAGGGCATGCCTCTGCCCTGACCGAGAAGGGCCACTTCACAGGGAAAGGACATAGGGACGCAGAATATGCTAGCAAGCGACGTCTCCGTATCTACTATGAGACCTGCATTTAGAACGGACATGTAAGACCAGACGTGAGGAAATGCCACTCACCCAGTGTTTTCTGGATGTCGTTCTTGGCGGGAAGTAAAGATCCCCTGGCGTCTAACAACACTTCAGCGGTTTTTTTCAGTTTCTCTACAGCCACCTGCTGACTTGATATCTGTCCCTGTAGAGCCTGGAGGATTGAATGCCTCAATTATATTCAGTAGGACTAAATAACAGATTTCCAATACGAAAAAAAGATTCACAGTAAGATAAATTGGACAGAGCAGACTTGTCATCAGTAGAAGCTTACTCCAGAATTCTTAGAGTAAGGCCAGTTACAAAGTGACATTAGCAAAACCATCAGCCAGTCGGGAACATTCAAGTTCAGTCCTGGAATAAACCCTCAGCATATGCTCATGATAACCGGCCTGATTCCTGATCCTGAAACCCTCCACCCTCAGCCTGAGTTCCCCTCAATCCCACTCCCAGACTCTATACAATACCCCCACAACCACCAGAAAACAAAGACAAGTAAAAAACACACAAGCAGCAGAACCCCTTTGAGACCATTTCTGACTCCAGGGAAGGAGATAATTAAGGACTTGCACATCCTGACCCAATGCTGAGTCATATTTATTTCCGTTAATGCAACAAAAGTTACTTAACATCTAACAAATTCCAAAAAAGCTTGCTCCGTTTTGTGAAAATACAAAAATCAAACAGACACAAAGCTTACCCATGGGGATCTTCTAGTCTAAGGCAGGAAGTGGTAAGTGCCAAAGATGAATAAGAAAAAGGTTGAGGAGGGGAGGACCTGGGAAGGGAGGAGGGGCCTCCTCCATGGGGTGGCCCTGGGGCAGGTCCTGGGGAAGGTGTGGATTTGGGTGTCCTCCTGGGGCTGCATCACCACCCAGGTGGTACCTGAGCCTCTTCCTTCCTTCCCACCTGCAAATCAACCAGCAAGCCCTGACAATTTCACCTGCTTAATATTTTTTTCAAATCTGGCTCTGGTTCTGTATTTCTGAATCACTGCAGGACAATCTCTCACTGAACTGGAAAAAGCCTCCTAACTGTGCCCCTGCCTCCAGTCTCTCCCCTGATACAGCCCCTGATATGTATTATGGAAGACACATACCTGACTGCACCACTCCCCTCTTAAAATCTTTCATAGCTTCCTCTTGCTTCAGAATAAAGAGGATACTGGAGCCTGCCATCAATTGTCCAAGGGAATCTATTCCTTAATTCTATCTTCAATCTCATCTTTCTCCCCCTCCTGTTCCAGAAGCATCCCACGACACAGCTATCCCTCAGCGATTTGCTCTTGCTGGACCCAAGGCCCTGAGGTGACCCTGAGCTTGGCTCTTACCTGTAACATTCAGCTGGGAGGCCTTCCCTGTCTCTCCTCACCCCAAGTTGGAGCACTGCCCCCAGAAGCTCCCACACATGCCCTGTGAATAACACTGCACTGATCTGTCTCTTCTATCAAACTGGAACCTCCTTGAGAACTAGAAATTGATAGTGTTCAGCTTTCTATTATCACTGCCTAGCCCAGTGCTGGGCACATGGCATTAACGAAAGTTTCTGGAATAAACAACTGAATGAATAAGTAAATAAATGAAGATATCAAGTGTAAGGTTTTAAAATATCCTCCTCCATTTCAGCCTTCAACAACAACAAGAAAAAAGCAAATGTCTAAAGCCAATGGCAAAATTTTCCTCAATTAATTCTCATATCCAAGAAACTGTGATAATATACAGGCAGCTGTGCATATGTCCAAAGGCCCAACAATCTACGATCAGCATGGGATCTGTGATCTGAATACCAGATCCTACAACTGTTCTAAGAGGCCAAAGAATCTGCATCAGAGTGATCAGTTTGGGAAATTCTCCCACAAGTTTAGTTGCAGTTAAGTGTAAGAAATTCCTCAAAATAGGAACTTTACCTATAACGGACTGAAGTCTAAGCCACACGTACAGCTTATTTGCATCACACAGTTATATAGGAAATGAAATAAATTTAAAGGCACCTCCAAAAATTATTTTTTAGAATGTGGGTTCCCCAAGGACAGAGAGAGGTTTTTTGAAGACACAAAGGGGTTAAAACCCTAACAGTGGGCCTAGAACATAAATGTCTCTGAATGAATAAATTTATGTAAAAGTGATCATGGTTTTACAAAACACCCAGTACCAAAGATGGCCCTACCTACCATCCTGAAACTTAGAAATGGATTACAAGAAAAGCATCTCTTCTTCACCTCTTCTCTTCAAAACATCTCATGCCTTTCCTCTTCATAGTTATGTTCAAGAGAGTCAGTAGTTTTTAGTTCCTAACGTTATCAGATTTTAATTTAGCTATGGTAGTGGTTTATAACACTACCTTGGGACAAAACTGAAAATAAGTATTCAAATGGGTGCCATATATTGTTTTTAATGGATTTCAGTGAAATCAAAAGATGAAAGAAGCATCTGTGACAGGGAACACTGCAAGATGATGACCTTGGTCTCCAGCCTGGACCAGAAAAGGGTGAAGTTTACAAAGCTGTGGGCACTTGTCCAGCTCATAAAAGTTTCCTGACATTCATCACCCTCCCAGAGATCAGAGCAAGCCTGGAAGGTTGATGTTGTCAGTGTTACCTGGCCCCATGCCTGGCTCCAAACCCAGGCCTCTAGAAGGGTCCCAGGATCCTGCCTTTCTGTGCTTTGTATGAAGCTAAAATCTCGTTTTGTCCACTGATTATGAAGAGCATCATTCTAGCCCAGGGGTATCAGACTGCTGACAACACAGCCAACAGCCACTTTAAAAATCATGCTAGTAGCAATGTGTTATTGGCCAAAAATATTTCAAATGTACCCACTGGGTGCCCCAAATTACATTTGTCATACAACAGAATATAAGTAGAAGTTAGTATTGTAAATGTAGAAAAGACTGACTGTTTGGTAGTAGTCTTATGTGTTTGTATTACTGTTAAAAGAAAAATGATTGTAAGATGTTGGTAATAAAATGAAGGAAATGGAGACTCCTTAATCCTCATAAAAATGTATCCTCTCTACCTGCTGAGATCATCTTTGAGGAAAACACATCCATATGCCAGGAACAACTTTAATCACGCATTTAATTCTAAAATTATGCTGTGGCTTAATTGGAATTAATTCTCCTTTGAGACGTTGCAATCTTTTTCTATTTCTTTGGCTGCCTGAGGACTAGAGGAGTCTTTTTCCTCAGCACATATCAAGGTAGTATTCCAGTTCTAGAATTAATCCATGTTTCCATTTCATTAAAAAGCCATAGCATTCATTTCATTTTTGTTTGTTTTGCTTTAGTTACATTAAAACTACTTTTACACAGGATGTAAATCAGTTTGTTAATACAGACCTAACTTAAAATGTGCTATGTCTATTTCACAGTTTCCGATGCTAAAAATACCTAACTTCCTAATTAAATGTAATAGAAGCAATCTTAATAATTATGCCGCTCCTGGTATTTCCTATTAAAATAATGGCCTTTATGTCACAACATCTCCTCTGCCAACATATACTGCCCTTGGACCCGTCATCCCGTGGGGACCAAAAGCTTCATTAAGACAGATCTGTTCTTGGGCTTGTTGGAAAGAGAGAAAAAACCAAACCAAAAAAAAAAAAAAAAAGCCTCCAGACTGAAAATGCACCCCTGAAGTGGGGAAGCTGCATCATCGTCGGGGCTGACCTGGCCCAGGACATGGCCCTGGTGCCTGTGTAGCGCTGGGTAAACTGCAGCCCAGGAAAACACAGAGTTCTCCATCCTTTTAGCCCCAGCCCCTCCTCCCTCCTCTAACCCCACGCTTCCTCCCCCTTCTCTCTGCTTGGCCTTAACCTGCCACAGTTCACCCCAGGGTAAGACAGCTTTCTTCCAGCCAGAAGACACTGGTCTCAGGCAACACCTAACATTAAGCTAAGTCAGTAGGGTATCTGTTTCCCTTGTTAACGCACAATAATGATTTCGGACTCTGTAACTAACAGATGCAACCAAATTCTGAAAGGCAGTAGCTTCACTGGCATTACAGTGTTTGCTTTCTATCTAGGCGGAAATGAGCCATTGCTACCCACCTGCTACAAGGAAGTACAGAAAAGATTTAAGACATGAAACTTTCAAACTCAAAATTATTGGTCACATGGAAGAAGAATAAACTTTTTCAAAACTTCTCTCCCCTCACATGAGGATTTTAAAATATGCTTGGAATCTAAGAAATGGCTAGACTCTCTCTGCCACTGTGGGTGGGGCTGAGACATTTACACAATTCCCCCATCAAGTCTGAATGTTCAAAAGGGCCGGCGGCCTCTCTGAGAAGTGGGCAAGGTGATAACTGAAGTGTGTACTTCTGTGAATCAGTGGTAACCCAACAGGAACCCACACAGAGTGTGACAGTGACACCCCCTCCGTCCCCCGGTCCATTCATGAACAAATGTTCATCAAGGACCTACAAGGGCCCAGGGATACAGCAGTGAACAAAAGAGACCAAGCATCTGTCCTGTAGAGCTTGGTGGTAACGCAGGAGAAGACAATGAACAAGGATGGGAGGGGAGCCTGGGGGAGAATGGGTACATGTATATGTATATGTATGGCTGAGCTGCTTTGCTGTGCACCTGAAACTATCACAACATTGTTAATCAGCTACACCCCAATATAAAATACGAAAAATATTTTCGTATTTGTAAAGATGACAAGTGGCCCAGGCAGGACTGGTCTTTGTCTGGGGATGAGGAGGTTGGGAATACGAGCCATGACAGCAATGTCAGACCAGCTAAACCACAGTAGAAGAAAGAGAAACGAACAGAGGTCAAGTTGTAACTCCCCCCAGAGGGAGACACACACCTTCCCCTCCCTTCCTCCCCTGCCCTTGGGGAAGTGATCACAAAAGTGGGGGAGAGCGGAGGGCATTCCATGGGACTACCTTGGGGCTGGATCTCTCTTTTCCCTCTTTTTTTTTACCTTCATCTCTTCTAGTTGCCTCTGCAGATTTTTAGGGTCCACGGCAACGGGTTCAGATAAGTGTCTGCTCGCCGTGGCCTCGCAAGCCTGGAGCCCAGAGAGAAGCCCACACGAAGCATCTTCATAGTGTTGGTATTTATCCACCAGATCTTTGAGGTTATTCCCAAGGACATTGCACTGAAAATCGAAAGAGAGAAGGGTGGGGATTAAAATCCACTACTTTTATATATAATCTTCAGGACCTATGGGTTACGCCACCTGTAAAACACCAGATTTCAACCAAAGTGAGCAAAAAATATAGGGTGAAGATTTTCTCCTTTATAGGAAGATGTTTCCTCTAACAAGTCAAAAACTAACCAATTCAAAAACATCTGCACGAGGGCTGGATCTTAATCCAGAATGAAGGGTTTAGCTGTCAATCATCAGAGGGGCTCGTCTCCATGGAGTTTACACACCACATGTAGAGTATGCATCAGATGGAAAGGTTTTCAAGGTGCTTCATAAATCACTTCTATAAGCTGCACAAGACTAATTAACACAAGGAGGGCAAATAATCTAGACCAGAAGGAAGCCAAGGCCAACAGCCAACAATGCTCTTCAAGACATTTGTGCAGCCTGGTCAGCTTATATTCTAAACAGGGACATGTTTTCTCAGTTTTGCTTTTTTTAAAACAAAACTCTCTTACTGGCCCAGGAGAATAATAAAATTGAAACAGTCTGTTATCTCTTAAATATTAAAATAATACACAGACCAAATATATGTGTAAAACGAATTCCTTGTGAAGGGAATTATCTGAGAGGAGGCTTCAGTTCTCAAGCTTCAGAGGCTGCAAACAGCAAACCACTGTTTAGACTCAAAATATACCCGCCACCTGCCGGGCAAAACAGGTATTACAGAGTTTTACAGCTAGAGCTGCCTGGAAATCACTCCAAATGAACTTAATAAATAACTTTACGTTCCTAATCTTTAAACATATTTTTCAGAAGTAAAGCAGATGAATAAGACTGAGGGAAGTAGGATGAAAATACTTTATTTTCCCTGCTTCAGTTTTCAGATTTCTTGCTTCTAATTCCAAAACTAAAGAGGACAGAACGAAAACTACACGTACAGATTCCTCATGCCTTAAAATGCAACTACCTTATTGCACAGAAAAGGAAACTATAAATAAAATGAAAAGACAACCTACGGAATTTGCAAACGATGCAACCAGCAAGGGCTTAATTTCCAAAATATACAAACAGCTCATACAACTCAACAACAAAAAACCAAACAACCCAATCAAAAAATGGGAAGGAGAACTATAGACATTTCTCCAAAGACACACAGATGGCCAAGAGGCACATGAAAAGATGCTCAACATCGCTAATTATCAGAGGAATGCAAATCAAAGCTACAATGAGGTATCACCTCACAGCGGGCAGAATGGCCATCATCAAAAAATCTACAAACAATAAATGCTGGAGAGGGTGTGGAGAAAAGGGAACCCTCCTGCACTGTTGGTGGGAATGCAAATTGATACAGCTACTGTGGAGAACAGTATGGAGGGTCCTTAAAAAACTAAAAATAGAGCTACCATATGACCACTACTGGGCATATGCCTTGAGAAAACTATAATTCAAAAAGATACATGTGGGCTTCCCTGGTGGCGCAGTGGTTGAGAGTCCGCCTGCCGATGCAGGGGACACGGGTTCGTGCCCCAGTCCGGGAAGATCCCACATGCCACGGAGCGGCTGGGCCCGTGAGCCATGGCCGCTGGGCCAGCGTGTCCGGAGCCTGTGCTCTGCAACGGGAGAGGCCACAGCAGTGAGAAGTCCGCGTACCGCAAAAAAAAAAAAAAAAGATGCATGCACCCCTGTGTTCAAGCAGAACTATTTACAATAGCCAAGACTTGGAAGCAACCTAAATGTCCACCGACAGATGAATGGATAAAGAAGATGTGGTACATATATATAATGGAGTATTTTTTAGGCATAATAATGAACAAAGTAATATCATTTGCAGCAACATGGATGGACATAGAGATTATCACAGTAAGTAAAGTAAGTCAGAAAGAGAAAGACAAATACCATATGATATCACTTATATATGGAATCTAAAATATGACACAAATGAAGTTATCTAGGAAATAGAAACAGACTCACAGACATAGAGAACAGACCTGTGGTTGCCAAGGTGGAGTGGGGTGGGGAGAGAAGGATTCAGAGTCTGGAATGAGCAGATGCAAACTATTATATAAGGATGGATAAACAACAAGCTCCTACTGTATAGCACAGGGAACTATAGTCAATATCCTGAGATAAACCATAATGAAAAGAATATGAAAAAGAATACATATGTATAACTGAAACACTTTGCTGTACAGCAGAAATTAACACAACATTGTAAATCAACTATACTTCAATTTAAAAAAAAATGAAATTACCTTCGTGTAGAGGGACCTGAAGCGGTCAGTGGCGTGGTCCAGCCTGCCCTGGACTTCCCTGTGGGTGGCAGAGGTGTCCAGGTGGCCCTGCTCAGCCCGGCCGCCTCCCTCTCTCCTGCTGCAAGACTTGGCTGCTTCCAACACTCTGTTCCCAGAGATCGTGATGTACCTCAAGTCTCCTTTGTGCGAAATGACATCTTCCGAGAAGCTCTTCTGCCTCTTCAGTTTGGCCGTCAGACCACCGAGGTCGTCGGCACCTGCTTCCAGGTTCTCCAGCTCTTGTTCTGACTGTTGCAGCCACAGCTCAAACTCGCCGTAGTCGGCGTCGAACTTCTCCAGCTCCTCTTGCAGGGAGTGGGTCAGCCGCATCCTCTTCTCTGACTCGGCCAGCGCGCTATCATAATGCGCCTTCAGCTCCTTGACGTTCCTCTGCAGCTTCTCCTTTTCTTCCGGGCAGAGGTGGTGGCCCTGCTTCTCCAGCAAGGCCTGGGCCGCCTGGGTGGCCACAAGGACAGCCTGGTGCTGGGCCGCAAGCTCCGCATGCCGGGCCTGCGGGAGAGCAGATCAGGCATCACGTGGATGCAGGACCCACAATCCCAGGACCCGCAGGCCTGCTTCCCATCAACCTGTCTAGGGTGCCCGCTGTTTCCCTCTTAACGGTGAACTTCCTAAAAGCAAAAGCTGCTTTGTGAGCAGCTAATTTTAAAATCTAATTTTAAAATTTCGAATCTTCTCTGGAAAGTACTGTTTTTGAGAAGGTTGGAAAAAATGGAACAAATTTCTGTTCCAGCCTTAAAACAAGCATCTACAATCTGCTCTCATTTTACTCATCCCTTCCTTATGAGCCCCCTGAAGGGACTGTCAATGTCTTTACCTAATTATTGATCAAGGAAGTACAATATTTTTTCTTAGGAAATGATCCTGAAAAGATATTTAATAGGAGAAAAAGAATCTATAATTTGAAACCTATAAAAACACTACGATAATCAGTAAGCAAGAACAACATACATTCAGAGAAGCCCAAAGGAAGTTAGAGGAACACGTATAATAAAGGAGCATCTTGGAGCTACTCAGCTGACTGGGTCTCAGTTTCCTGCATGTGGAAAAGGGGACAATAACCCTACACATCACAGGTTTGCTGAAAGGAGCACAGGAAACCGCACACAGAGAATGCTGCCTGTTGAGCCCGGCACATGTCAGGGATCAAAGTCCACCCTGGAGGCAAAAGCAGAGCGTCTGGCAGGTCACAGGTGTGGGGCAGAAAGGTCACAGGTGTGCACAGCTACCCGCCCTCAGCCCTCAGCCGTGTGGGCCTCGGCGGCCAGAGTCCCTTCCTCTCCAGCCATAACCAGCTTCTTCCATCCACCCCAATATGCCATTAAAATGTGGTAAACAGCGTAATGGAAAAGAATACAGAGAAGAATGCATACATGTGTATAACTGAGTCACTTTGCTGTACAGCAGAAACTAACACAACACTGTAAATCAACTCTACTTCAATTAAAAAAAAAAAAAAGCATAGTAATCCTTTTGGGCCATTTTCCACATTTCTTGTAATGGCTGACGTGGAGCCATACAGCCTGATCCCATCACCTCCGAGCTCCCTCTCCGACCTGGCCCTCCCCCTTCCCCACACGACACACTCGGCCTCCCACCTCTACCCCACCCCCACCCGCGGGCACATCTGGACCTCTTTCTCCAGCTGTTCTCTTGTCTGGTTCCAGCTCTACCCTCAGACACCTGCCTGCAACCCCTACCTCCTCTGAGTCTTTGCAGGAATCTCATCCCCCCGTGTGGACCTACTCGGATGAGGCTATTAACCCTGAAAGGTGGTCCCACCCCATCCGCCCACCCATACCTAACTTAGCAAAAAGTTACCACCTTCCAGCATCCCACAGAATTCCGATGTTTACTGCCTGCCCTATTATCGTCACCCCCCCAGCAGGCAAGCACCAAGACAGGGAATTTACTTTGCTCACTACCTAGAACAGAGCACTCAGGGGCTGAGAAAATATCATTCTATGCCATCAAGTGAAAAGGGTCAAGAAGCACTGCTGTGGGACAGCTGTTCCCGCGAAGTCTGATCCCAGCCGCCAGCCGAGAACAGACTCATCAATCCTCGTCCCCTTGTCTGTGACAGCGCCTGACACACAGTGGGCACAGGACAAATACTTTTGTCTAAATAACTTTTCTCCCGCAGGCTTTTCTCTCTCTTCGGTATCTGAATTATATTCAAACACCATCTCCGTGGTCAGACAGATGTATATAATACCTATAAAGTCACCCGACCCATCCCTTCCTTTTACAGATGAGCGGAGACAAGGCTGCAGGAGCAGAAGTACTGGGCCCAGGACACGTAGCGCAGAGAGTTAGTACGAGAGCCCTCGTGTCTCCCGGGCCTCTGGGCCATCTCTCCACTTTGCCAGGGGAGCAGGAATTTGTGAAGCGCTTTCAGATTCTCATACTCTTAACAGTGAAAAGTTCTGAAGGCAAACTTCATGCTGTGGCTAAAAACAAGTGTTTCCGGTAAGGCACCTGTATGTCTGGGTCCATCCGGGTATTTTTCACTCCTTTGGTCAAGTTACTAACCTTTCCTGACTCCTTTGTACCTGACTCACAGGTTCCTTTAGGAATTCATTAGATCTTTCATTTTAAGACACAATTACAGTCAGGCTCTGGAATAGCCCCTTGAAATTGTGATGTAATGAATAACCCAGCTCTTCTGGTTTCATTTCTACTTCCTGTACTAGAAGAGCTTCACAGAGAGCATTCTATTCCCAAGACTCCAAAGACAAAGACTCGGAGGCAAACAACAGAACTGCAAATGTTCCCGAGGCCCAGGCATCTGCCCATCAAAAGTCACACACTGAAATAAAATGATCAACTATGTGACTCTTTAAAAATGGCTTTCAAATGTTCCCTTGGCTCCTGTAGCAGCATTAATGTTAGCCCTAGATTTTTCATGCAGTGAATTTTCACTCCTCTTCTCAGCCACAGCCTTCACCAAAAAGATGACCTGAAGTCTGGAGAGAACTTGAGTAAACTCAGGAGGGCACAGCAAGCCCGGGCTGGAATTTAGCAGAGGGACTGAGCTCACAGCCTAGTTTAAAATCCCAACTCCATCCCTTACTAGAAGTGTAACCTCAGGCAAGACACCTCATTCTGTAAGTTACAGTTTCCCCATCTGTCAAATGAGATTAAGAATAACATTAATAATAATAATCTCATCACCATAATAATGATATTCTCATTTGACAGAGTGGTGGGGAGAACTAAATGAACAGAGTAATGAGTCACGATGGGAAGAGCTCTGAAGATTGCCTGGTCCACTGTCACTGCTTTACGAACATTAGCTATTATTGTTATTGCTATTAATTCCTTACAACTCTGCTTCATGCAGAAGAACACCACATCCAATGATGTATTTCCCACTGTTTTTCACTTGCTTAGAATTCTCACCATAACTTACATGGACATACTGATGACCCGAAAACAAGGACTTTACTCTCAAGGGTCCCTGAGGTTTGAAAAGATAACTCACGTGCTAAGTGCTTCCAGTCTTTACAGACCTGAAAATAGACTTTAACAAAATCATCTGTTTAAAACCACTCACCTTCATCTTCTGGTACTGCTGGTTCAGGTTCTCCTTGGTGGTCGCTACGTGCCCGTCAACATCCATATCCAACAGGTTACCATTAACTTCATCCTCTTCTCCCATCACCGACTTGCCATCATCCTCTTGAAAATGAGTCCCGTTCTGTTCAATGACCTGTTTCTGTTCCATCCCTGCCCTTCCTGAGTCTCTGTCAACATTCGCCAACCAGTCCAAAAGGTTTTCGATTTTGGTTTTGCTCTCTTCCAGCTGCTTTACAGCTGCAACCTAGGCAGGAAAGGTCATAATAGATAACCTTGAACGTGGGCCGAGGCAAGAGTGTTAAGACTTTCCAAAAGCAAATACTTAGATCATTGAAAATCAGAGTAGGGAAATTAAACCAGACCCACAATGAAAACTGAACACACTGAAATTAAGCCTTACAGTGACACACAGTTACCCTGAAGTTTCCACTGTTCTTAAAAACACATTCGAAAGTTTTAACTGTACTTAATGGACCTCACCCATTTCACAAGTAGAAAGCCTGACAATCCCACTTAAATTGTTTTTAAGAGTTTAACAAAGCCTACAAACTACTATGTATAAAATAAATAAGCTACTAAGATATACTGTACAACCCAGGGAAGATAGCCAATATTTTATAATAACTCTAAATGGAGCATAACCTTTAAAAATTATGGATCACTATGTTGTGCACCTGACACACATAATATTGCACATCAACTATACCTCAATAAATTTTTTTTTTTTTTAAAGTTCAACAAAGCCAATTCTTCAAACTTTGTAGTATTTGGTCAATTGCCTATATCAAAACCCAGAATTCTAGTCTCTGGCGCTAAGCATCCCTTACGACCACCTGATACCACGTAAAAAATCAAGGCACTGTTACACTCATCATTTTCAACAAAGCCATAAGAACAGGGTACCGCATATTTGAATAAGGACCTTTTCCGTTTCTTCCTTGATTGCTGTCGTCACAACTTTATCCAGCTCTTTTTTCGACTGTTCTGCCTTTAAATTAAGCTGTTCACACTTTATCTTAGCTTCATTAAGTTTCTGTTCAATCAGAGCCTTATCTTCTTGTGACAGTTTTTCACCACTCTCTTTTAAGAAGTTCTCTGTGTTTTTCACTATTTCTGCCAATGCCTGTGCACTTCCTTGCATATCTTTCTGTAATTCCTTATAACACAAAAGAAAAATAAAATCTTAATAAATTACTACCTATTTAATTCTTCCACAATTGTAATTCTAAAACAGGGTGGGGGGCGGGGCAGAGAAGAATCTAGCACATACAGGTTGTTAAAGCATATTCAATACTCTGTTAATTTGAGTTGGTTTATTCAAATCACAATATTTAATATAATTTGAAACCTCAGAGAACATTAAAGAAAGGTATGCGATTTGCAAGTTTAACAAATGGATGTGGTTTGTAAAACACTGAAAACAATTAAGTATTTACAAATCTATAATTTGTATATTTACAAATCTATAATTTGTATAGATTTGTATATAATCTATAATTTGTATATAATCTATAATCTGTAATCTATACAGATTTGCACATACCAGATTTTTTTACATTATGTGAGTACATTTAGAAAAGCTTTTAAATACATGGTAATATTATCTGTTCTGTTTTTAAACATTTAATTTTAACATATATCTGCTGCTCAGGATAAAAACAAATAGTTCTCAAAGTTATGAGCTAAATTATTCCTAATGTAATTTCTATACTAAGATGATGACTTCTTCTAAATACCAGAGCTCTATAAAATAAAATGTTCGCTTCTTTGCCCTAGCTGCTAGGAAGCTCAGAGTAAGATCTCTCCTCAACAGTTACAGCTTTCCTTCGTCTGGAGTTCTCTATGTAATTTTTCCTCCTTTACACTTTCATTCTCTATAGAGTACTATGTTTAACTCTTCATATTGTTTTTCTCCATAGTTTTATTTTAAGCCTCCCCAAATTTTTCTAGGAAGTATTTGAATTGAAAGAGATACTGTCCAGTTTTCCAAGCACCACTTAGTGAAGAGACTATCTTTTCCCCATTGCATATTTTTGCCTCCTGTGCTGTAGATTAAGTGACCATAGCTGTGTGAGTTTATCTCTGGGCTATTTAATCTGTTCCATTGATCTCTGTGTCTGTTTTTGTGCCAGTACCATCCTGTTTTATTACTATAGCATTGTAGGATGGTTTGAAATCCAGGAGTATGATAACTCTAGCTTTGTTCTTTCTCAAAGTTGCTTTGGCTATTTGGGGTCTTTTGTGGTTCCATATAAATTTTAGGATTATTTGTTCTAGTTCTGTGAAACATGCCATGGGTATTTTGATAGGGATCACAATGAATCTGTAGATTTCTTTGAGTGGTATGCACATTTTAACAATACCAATTCCTCTAATCCATGAATGCTATGTATAGAATACAAAAAATACAAGGATATATTGTACAGCACAGAGAATGCAGCCAATATGTTAGAATAATTTTAAATGGTGTATCATCTATTGTGTTGGCCAAGAAGTTCGTTCTGGTCTTTCCGTAAGATGTTACCGGAAAACCCGAAAGAACTTTTCGGCCAACCCAATATTAAATGTTGAATCACTGTGTTGTATATCTGAAACTAATATAATATTGTAAATCAACTATACTTTAAAATAAATAAATACTTTTTAATAAAGAAAGAGACACTCTTTACTGAGCCACTACTATATGACATTAACTGTGCTGGTCACTTTACATAAAATATCTATTTAAGTCTGACAATAACATGGCAGTGGAAGTTTGAGCAAAGGCAGTGAGGCCCAGAGAGATTAAGGTACAAAGCTGACAATGTGCAGAGTCTGGGACTGGAACCTGGATGATCTCATTACAATGAGAATGTTCTTTCTCCTGACACCAAAATAAAACTTTATCTGTCATTATTGTTTGGTCCTTCATTGAAAAAAAACACAAATTCCAGAGAACAATGAAAGGAATAGGATGGGGCTAAGAAAGAAAAAGAACCCAAACTCATGGCTATGTCTCCTGATTTGCAAGTGAGTTGGGCTTCAACAGATCCAGATTCTAACTCATCACAAAAAGTATTTCCACTATCAAATCTCCTTTATATCGCCTCCACTCGATATCTCACTAAAAAAAAAAAAAAGCCAGGAAAATTACCTGGCTTGTTGGAGCTGGACATATGACTCTTAGTATAAAGTTTCAAGCTCAGGTCTGGGGGCGTCTTGGGTGCACCTTGCCTCCGAAAAGCTAAAATGATGACTACTTTCCAATAACCTGAACTGCTTTCCAAATACTAGTAATCAGTCTTAACATCAACTCAACCCACTAATGCAAAGCTAGATTCTACCTCCTGCTTGGACTGGTACTTCTTTAACTCAGCCGTGCCGTCTCCAATCATGAAGGCTTCCTGGTGACCAATGAGGCGGTTCTCGGTTTGGGTGAGGAGGTCACAGATGCCCTGGAGTTTCTCTCTGTACTCCTGCTGACGCTCCTCCACCATCTGAAGGGAGCAAAAGCAAAGCCTCGTGAATGTGGCCACCAACTCATTACTGCCATAGCTCTTTATGAGAACACATTTTGCAAGTTTCCTCTATATACGCTCTCCTAAGTATGCTGTAAACATGATAGCAGTGGGGTGCACACTGAGCAAGGGACACAGAAAGTGAGAGCATGTCTCATGTACAAGGAATGAGATCCCTTTTGGATGACACAGCTCAACAGAACACTGGCCACGCATATGTGTAAGAGATGGAGCTTCTGACCGACAGGAAGAAACATCCCACTTTCTGAAGCTCTTGAAACCTGCGACACATACAATTAATTCTGCAAAAGGATATCAAAACAGAAGTTAGTCGTGATTTGTCTGTTAAAATATTCGATACGTGTAAACAGGTTACCGTGCTGGAGACCATGCTTGTGCTTCCAGAAGTGATCAAAGGAGCCTTGCACGCAATATCTCTCCTTAATCACTGTGGCTAATTCCATCCCCACCTCTGCTCATTATTGCTATTGGATGAACCACCTCAATATAATTCGTTAAATCACCCTAAGAGATTAATTCAGCCATTACTTGCATCTTTTGTTTTCCTTTTATATACATACTAGTTATTTATTCTATAGCCATAGATCATGTTGACTAGGAGCCTGACACATGCCGGGCAAGGTCCTGAGGGTTTTAAATTCTTTCTTTCATCGGTGCCCACAATACTACCGGGCAAGCACTGCTACGATTTCCAATTTCCCAATGAGAAAACTGGTTCAGTGACTTGCCCTGGGTCCCACAGCAAGTGAGTGGTATAAATGGGGTGTAAACTCAGGCAGCCTGGCTCCAGAGCCTGGCCCTACCCTGCCATGCCCGCCCACCTCCCAAAGGGAAAAGACACCCTTAACCTTCTCTACCCACATGTTCATCAATTTATCCCCGGAAATTTCTCAATGCATCCACATTTCCTCTTCCTAGAAAAAAAATCAAAACTCTCCTCTGAAAACAGTAGTTTGAGGGAGGTCATGAAAATTAAAAGCAACTAATTATAGCCTTCTTATGGCACACAGTACTTTTATACATTGTAGGATCACTATATTATACCCTGTTCACTCATTGCCAGTCCAGAAAATCTCTCCTGTCTTCTCTTATCCACAACCCCTGGGGTTTACATTACAGGTTTCACACTGAAGACCTAAATACCAAGAATTCCCACTCCGCAAAGAGAGGCGGACCTTCTGACGATCGAGATCTTGTTCTAGCTGTAACTGAGCCTCTAAATGTTCCACCTGGGTAGTTACTGATTCCTGCACGTCAAGGAAACCCTTCTGAGTTGTATTTAAGAGCCTCAGCAGTTGTCTGCTTTGGGAGGGAGACAGATCTTGTGCGTGTTCAGAGATGAAGAACTGCACGTCAAAGGCAGTGGTCTCCAGCTGCGTTTTGGTGTGTCCGAGGTCTTTTAACACATTCTGTGAACAAAGTAGTATGAGTTACCAACAGCGAGTTAAGCCACAATAGAAAGTTTCTGTTAACGATAACATTTATTATAAAAATATGCTTCTTCTATCAGGGATTCAAGCTTTTATTGACATTTTTTCACAATTCACTGAGTCAAGCCATTCATTCATACTGAATGGTAGTGATGAAATTATTTCAATACTATGGTCATTAATACATTAAAAAATAATCCCTCTCAGAATATATTAACCTTGTCTGGCAGAGTTACTTGAAATGTAACTCCGCCAAAAGGTAAAGATCTAACTTGTGTATGTTTAGCACATTGAAGGGAAACAACATTAAAATACTGAATGGATAAAGAAGATGGGGCACATATATACAATGGAATATTACTCAGCCATAAAATGAAACGAAACTGAGTTGTTTCTAATGAGGTGGACGGACCTAGAGTCTGTCATACAGAGTGAAGTAAGTCAGAAAGAGAAAAACAAATACCTTATGCTAACACATATATATGGAATCTTAAAAAAAAAATGGTTCTGAAGAACCTAGGGGCAGGACAGGATAAAGACGCAGACATAGAGAATGGACTTGAGGACACAGGGAGGGGGAAGGGTAAGCTGGGATGAAGTGAGAGAGTGGCATGGACATATACACACTACCAAATGTAAAATAGATAGCTAGCGGAAAGCAGCCACATAGCACAGGGAGATCAGCTCGGTGCTTTGTGACCACCCAGTGGGGTGGGATAGGGAGGGTGGGAGGGAGACACAAGAGGGAGGAGATATGGGGATATATGTATACATATAGCTGATTCACTTTGTTATACAGCAGAAACTAACACAACAATGTAAAGCAATTATACTCCAATAAAGATGTTAAAAAATATACTCCTTGCTAATATTTATAATATCCATGTAACTGTGGCAGCACATACACGAGACCGTGGGAATTTAAAACATAAATCCAATAGGCCAGAATTTCAGTTTTCTGACTCACAGGCCCAGGAGTGTCACTGCCCGCCATTCATGAGGGATGCTGTTCACATTAAGAACTTGGGGAAGAAAGGCATGACAGAAATGATTAATACCATGAAGCAGCTACAGGACTGATTTAAATGATTATGTCATTATGTGACTGATACATACATAAATACATAAATACCAACCTCAACATGCAGTGGTAGTAAGAGTTTTATAAAGTCTGCAGGGACCTCATCAGAATGACACCTGTAAGGTTGTGATTATTTTATAGCTGAGTCAACTGTGAACAAACACCTCTTAGAGAAAAAGGAAATAATCCTTTATAGCTTCAGCAAAGTCACATTTTTTCTAAACCTTTGTTACATTCAACCCACAGGTTTTCTGATGTACTTGGTCTTATTGACTTTGACACTTGCCTTGAGAAACTCCAAGCTTTGCTTTACGTGTCCAGGATCTTGAACCATCATGACCTCCACATCCTTCACAGATGTGCTCCTCTCTGATACCCAACGTGAGAACAACTGAAGTTTGTGCAGAAATTCTTCATGGGAAACTGCTAGTTTTGACTAGAAAATAAAGTTGCGTGTTCATTTCTGTCTGTCCCCAAATTTCAAATTCCTACAAATAATGATCCTGTGTCAAGAGCTTAACAGTTTATCATCATATGACTAAATTTTCAAACCCTCAGTTTTCTCCCAAACACTAGTTCTGACTCAACGTGAGACGGTCTGGTACCTACCATCTCGGAGTCAATAGCCAGCATGATGTGGTTCATTCTTTCCAAAGACAAGGCATGGAGGGAAGCAAAGGCCGCCTGCAGACTCTGGAGGCTTACACTCAGGTCCTCGAGATGTCCCCTGGGGAAGTCACCTGGCAGAGACTTTAAAAACTCCTCTGCCAGCGTCATGTCTTTTCTTAAAATCACACCAATTGGAGCCAAGCCCAATTCAAATGTCTGCAAAAAATACACATCCCAGATATACCTGGTGAGAAACACAAATATAACTAATATTCAAAATATAAAAATGCTCTTTTTAATTTTCCAAATTAATATCAGCTGACTACCCTCCATAATCGGCAGCAGACAATTCTTACCTCTAGCTGTTTAAGTTGGTTCTTCAAAGCTTCTAGATTGTTATCCAGAGACTCCTGGTTACCTAAGGGAGGCCTCATATCTTGAAGCAAAGCCAAATACTCGCACATCTTTGATCTGTGCTGTAAACACTGCTGTAGCTCATTGGAAAACTAAACACAAATGTGGACATGTTAATTCAATAGGCTTTATGCAGATTTTTCAAGCAAATAAAATGTATGGGATTATTCCCAAATGCAGCTACTTCCTTATAAAATGTAAAGTCTACTTACTTGTTCCATCAAGCCGTCTCCAGAAGCCATGTCTTTTGACCCTGAAATACATTCCAAACGGTCTGGGGATTCAGCGCATAGCTCCTCCAGCCTCCCGCCTCTTGGCAATGCTGATGAACAGACAGGAGAGTTTTCTTGTCCATTTTCTTTCATATTTTGTAAATTAAGGGAATGGGGGTTTTCTCTCTTGCTGTTAAGATCATGAAGAATGTGTGGCTTTTCATCCATCATCTCAGAAGCTGTAGATGATTTTTGATTCAATTCTCCACCCTGTCCTCCTTTCTCTGAATATCCATCAGCAAGCAGCTTGCAGAAAACATTTTCAAGTTGCAGAGGAAGAACTTCAGATGTCCTACCTCTTTTCTCTAGATCACACTCCACCTGAGTTAATTCTTTCATCAATTCAGATGCTCCTGTAATTTCCTGGCTATACTGATTTTGCTTAAGTATATCGAGAAGCAGCTCAGACTTGAGGTTTGCAGTACAGAGCGAAGCCTCTCTGCCCTCTGCTTTTAGTTCTGGCGAGTTATTCATGGGGGAAATGCCATAGTCACTGGTTTTAGAGTCGCCAGACACACCAGATGCTTCACTTACCAATGATGATGAGCTAGCTCTTTTAATTAAGTTTTGAATTGAAATGTTAGTATCTGCACAGGCTGAAGGTTCTCCAAGCTCTTGAGGGTTCATACGACCTTCTTTCAATCTACCTTTTAAGATGTCCTCGACATCTTCAATCGAGACCTGAGATAACTCAGGAATCTGAACCTCGTTTTCCTGGACTCCTGGAGATGAGGCTGGTTCTTTTCGTGCCTGTTGCTCAATTACTCCTTTCTCACTGTTAATTTCTAAGGATGAGCAGTCAGTGTTTAAAGTGTTACTGGAGTTATTTCTTATTCCATCTGCACAGAGCTCTGACTGCACAAAATCCGTATGTTTCCCAAGGCCTTCTGCATCTATAAGAGGGAAGATTGAAGGTGTGCTTTCATCTCTTTCTGGTGTGAACTCAGGAATTTCTGATCCTCCTTCTGAGACACTTTCTTTAGTAGGAAGATCCTTCTGTTGGACCATCTCCTTTGGAGGTAAGTCTTCTTGGGCAAGAGCTGCCTTCCCTTTTGCATTATTAACTCCTAATTGCACGTGCTCATTCCTGGGAGGGGAAGCTACTAGAATACAGCTTAGGGTATCTTCATTTGGTTTCAGTATGTCTTTTGC